TGTATAATTATTATAAATATATTCTATATGTATATATAAACTTTAAATTATATAAAATATTAAATGATATTAATATACATAAATATAATTAAATATATACATATATATATTTTTTTAATTATGTAAAATATTATGTAAAATTAATAATGATTAAAATAAACAAATAGATTTTCGTTTATAGTATTCCATGAAAGTACATATATTTAAAAAAGAATTTAATTACATGCAATAATTTTCCTAAATCTTAATTATTTGCTTTATTACTACTTTGTATATGACTTGAATTTATTTCTATTTAATTATATTTACTGAATATTATAATTCTACTATAATTGTTCCGCATTGTATCGATGAGAATTAATTTATTTTTATTTTATAAAAAATTTCTTATCGTATTTTTATCGTTTATATATACATGTAATCATTTCTGCATAAATCCATTTAGTATCTCGGAGTAAATTTAAAATTTGTTTTCCTCTTTAATAATAAATCTCCATTCTACGTGAATTGTGATTCGCGAATCTACCAATTTATCTGCTGTATTGATATTAGTTATATCAAATATAACACAAAAAATTCGTTTAGCTCTCATATCCAACAATTTCATATATATACGATAAAAAAATATAATTATCGACTATCACGAAATATTTATAAATATCTAATTATAATTATATTTATTTCTAATTATGATTATACTTTTTGTTTCTCTTTTTATCTTTAATCACTTTAATTTTAAAAAGAATAGATTTTTTTATATATCTTTTTATATATTTTATATATATTTTTTATATATTTTTATATATATTTAAAACCATATTTTTCGCGTAGCTTTTTCATTTACGAAAATTATTGCGTGATTAAATAAAGTTATATTTCTATCTTTTATGTGAAGTAAACAAATTGGGTTCCACAAATATACTAACTTATCTATTTCCCAACTACTCGTTTAACGGTCGAAGAAACAAATAAAAATTTCGAACATTTACGTTTGCTTGTGAAAAGAGAAACTAATTAACGTATATAAATTTCATATATAAATTTTTTATATAAATAATTTTATATAGTTATGATATATAAACTTTCTCCATCATCTTTGAGAAAGTTTATCGCGTTTTTCTAAATTTTTTTTTTAAATCGAAAATGAAAAATTAATATTCAAATCTATAAATTTAATTCGACTTTTGATGTCTCGGTTAGTCTTCATTTATCTAATTTGGATAATTGCCAATTATATAAATCTACTGTCGAAAAAATGAAAAAATGATAAGCAATATATCTATTTTGAAAGTAACAGGGTTGGGAAAGTTACTTTTTAAAAGTAACTCGTTACCGTTTCCGTTCTTTTTTCTAAAAAGTAACTCGTTATCGTTATTCGTTATCAATTTTCAAAAGTAATTCGTTACTGTTACCGTTACTTAAAAATAACGCGTCGTTACAATTTTCGTTACTTTTTTAAATATAAGTTTATTAAATATTACAGGGTTTATTTTAAAATAAATGAAAACATTACTAAATTTTATCAAAATTCTTTATTAATTTTTAAAAGAATTTGCTGTTCAACTGTATTATCATTTAGCTGCCCTCTTTGTGGCGTTAATATAGATCCATCGACACTAAATATCTTCACTGAACTTCTTCTTTCACATGTGTCCAATGACGCGTTTACGTAAATGTGATTCTGTATTCCACACTCTTCTTTGAATGAAAATTACACCAAATAAATTTGCAAAAAGTGGCAATAAAAATAACTGTTAAATTCGTTATTTGTTACCGAAAAAAGGAACGAAGCTACTTTTTTCATTACAAACGAAATTTGTAACGTCGTTACCGTTACAGTTATCGAAAAAAGTAACTGTAACTGTAACGACGTTACAAGTAACGCTTCCCAACTCTGGAAAATAATATATATAAATAATAAATAATTTTTATAAATTACTCACCACATATCTCTCTGGATGCTTCAGGCTCTGTCACTGCTCTCTGGCTGTCCAATACTTTTCCAGATGTCCTTTTCCTTTCTTTTTCATTCTTTGCTGTTTCGTCGTAGCACTGATATTCACTCGCGAACAAACAATTAATTATATTTAACCGTGTAACAGAAACGATTGCGAGACACTTTGCATAGCACTCCCGATCGCGGAATAATTATGAGAAACGCACTTTAATATATCGTATCTCATGTTGTTGGCGCGCGATACTTTGACGACACTCCCGCATTCGCGAGCGATATTTTTATATCGCTATTTTCGTTATTTTACGCGCGATTCTGAACGGCACTTCCGCACTTTTTAGATGCGATTAAAAATTTTATATTTGATCGCGCGATGTATATACTTAATATGTATATACCTTTAATGGCACTCCCTAATATGTATATACCTAACGCGACACGTTGACGAAGCGCTTGCCATCCGCGGCACGTTGACGGCACCGACGACGCGAAAGGGTACTTAGCTTCCCTTTCGGGCACCTTAAGATTTATCATAAATTGAAAAATTTAAGATAAATCTCAAGGCACCGTCCAGGTACTAAGCCCTCCCACCGCGACAAGCGTGTACCCTATGGGAGGGTTATATTATATTATATATAATTTTATATATAATATAATATATAATTAATTTTGTAATATACTATATAAATTTTAATTCGCAAATATAAACGATAAATAAAAATATAAAAGATACGAGAAAATCTATTATATAAAGCAATGTTCAAAATAATTGTTAGAGAAAGAATTTAATAATATATGGAACGTCTCACATCACTACCTCACTGTTCGAAGGCCATTGAGGGAATGATCGTAGGAAACATTACCGCAATACTGTTTATATCGCCAAGGCCGACTTATATTATGTTATTGTTATAATTCGTCGTTGAAATATTCTATGAATGATTGCCGATTAAGAAAATTTAAAACATTGGTCGAAATTTATTTAATTTTAATAAGTATAAGTTAGATAAATTATTATACTAAGCAGCAATAATCGAAAGATCATAATAAAATTAATTTCTTTATCCCTTTTTATATTCCCCTTTTCAATTTTTATTCGCAGTAATTAATGATTGCGGTTCGATAAAGATTTATCATTGCGATACATTTTCATGACGTTTATCATAAGTTAATTTATTTTTAATTATTAGTAATTATATCAAATAATGTTTTGATACTAATCGTAATCGTGTTTAGAAAAAAAATTCGACAATATGCGAAGCGTTTCGCATTACTACTTTATCGCTCTAGTGTCACCATGCGAATGATAATAAAGCCGTAACATATTTAACAATAGCGCGCTATTGTTTATATTGCCAAAGTCGAATGCCATGTCGATAATTCGTTGCCAAAATATTTTATAAATTATAAAATATACATTAATATGGAATATTAAATTATGGAAGTATTTTAATTTATTGATTAAAATTGATTATTTATTAAATAATTTATCACGGATCTAATTATTTGAATTTATTCGATTATTTTACCGCGCTTTTCCGAAGTCAAATTCTATAATATTTAGTTTTGCTTTTAGTTATATTTTAAAAGATTGACTTATAGCGAGCTAAATAAATAAATAAATAAATGATGTTGAAAAGAAAAAAAAGACACATAAATAAATAAATAAATAATAGTGGAAAGAGAGAACATACTAATATTTTTATATAATAAATTATTATTAATTAAATTATTTATATTTTTATTTATATTATTTATATTAGCAGAGAGACATATATGTTATTCTTTGAGAACATTCGTGGACGTTGGCTTTGTAATTCATGTTCACGTTTTTAATATCCACAGAGGGAGTATCGCTTCCAGTGATCAGCTAAAAGCAGGCCATGACATCTCTCAGTCTTCTTTCTGATACGAAACATATCATACATTTATTAATTTTTATTACATATTATTAACAACGCGTGATCTTTTCACTTTAGCATATATTATGAAGTAATATATATGTATATGCGTGTATAATATATATAAAATTAAAATGCTTATTTTATTTCACATAAAATTTAATGTTTTAATTTAAATAATAAATTTAATTTAATAATTTCAATAAAAGTATTTTAATAAAATATATATGTGTATATTACTCCAATAATAAATATTACCAAAATGAAAAAAAGATCATACGCAATAATGTTTCGTACTTTATTTTGAGATTCACAATAATTAATGAACGAACATACGGTCATTTTATACACTTATATATATGTATATGTATATGTACCAATAAAATATGACATATATATATACTATACATATATATATATATATATATATATATATATATATATATGTCATATTTTATTGGTACATATGCATATACATATATATAAGTGTGTAAAACGACCGTATATGTATGGTATATATATATATATATATATATATACATATATATATATGTCACATTTTATTGGTACATATACATATACAAATATATAAGTGTATAAAACGACCGTATGTTCGTGCTAGATTCATTAATTATTGTGAATCTCAAAATAAAGTACGAAACATTATTGCGTATGATCTTTTTTTCATTTTTCATTTTAATATTTATTATTGGAGTAATATACACATATATATTTTATTAAAATACTTTTATTGAAATTATTAAAACATTAAATTTTATGTGAAATAAAATAAGCATTTTAATTTTATATATATTATACACGCATATACATATATATTACTTCATAATATATGCTAAAGTGAAAAAAGATCACGAGTTGTTAATAATATGTAATAAAAATTAATAAATGTATATATTTCGTACTTTTGAGATCCACAATTATGGATCTAGCACGGACATGAACCAATCGGTCGTTTTACCGTGGCAGCGAAAAGTGGATCCGGCCACGTAGTACCGCCGGAAAAATGGATCCAGCTAGCGCCACTTTTTGGCGGGGAAAAAGCGTTCCCTGAAAAAGGGCAGCGTGACCCCTCTCAGCTTTCTCTCTGCCCGCGTAATCGAAAGAACAGACGAGAACAAATGTTTCGACTAATCTGTCAGTGACATCGATATATTGCAATGTCGATTGTTACTGGTGGTGTGATATCGATAGCATAACAATTTCAAAGATTTCAAAGTAGCACAGCGTAGTGTTTGGTACACCTATACACGTCTAGGTTAGAATTGCTATTTTCATATTTAAAAATATTTGCGTTAATGCTCTAATGTCATGTGATTTTTATGAGATACTCGAATGTTATATATTGATTGACGATCGAACGTAACTCTTTATCAGGCGAAGTTGTTCGTTGTCGTGAGGAAGGGCTTTATCATGGAGTGACGATTGTTGAAGATCGTTGTTTATAGCCTCCCTGTCGAAACGGTTCCGATCAAGGTTAAATCGATAGTTAATCGCTTATTTTTAAGCGTCGTGCGAATCAGTTGGAAAAAATGACCTCGAACGAAGCAGGCATATCGCTCGTCGCCCGGGAGGATATCAGCTGGCGAAAAGATTTAATTTCGCAGTTACGTGAAAGAAACAGATCGCAAACTAATTGCTTTGCAGATCTCATCAGTCTGCGTAAGTTTTAATAAGCACTTATAATTTCATATTGATTCAATGCAGGTATCAATATCTCTTATTTTAGATACAGTATCATTGCTGCAGAGTGTTTTGTTGTTTACCATATGTCTTGCTTCATTAGATTTTTATCTATAGGTTAATGTTCATTGACAGATTCCATTTATTTATTTACCTCTTTCCTATTTAATTTCAAAAAAAGAAAGTATCTGTGTGTTAACTTATACAGGATCTTTCGTATATATATATTTCAATTTCAGTTCATAAATTAGCTGTATTTCTGTTTTACAGATAATAGGTTATTTGAAAGTGCAAACACTTTGCGAAATACAAATATGCAATTGACGATTGCAAATGAAACCCTTCGTCGTGAGGCAGCTAATGGCAATATTGGCATAGGTGGAAATTCTGATCTTGAAGCTAGACTTTTGAAACAAGCAGAAGAATTGGCAATGCTACATAAGAGAAAAGGAGAACACACGCAACAAATAGTAGATCTAAATAATAAATTGCAAGAAATAACAAAAGAACTTCAAGCAAAGGAAATCAGGTAAATTAATCGTTTATATGTATACACGTTTCATGTAAATATATCTTATGATTTGTGTTTCTTCAGTCTTGCAGAAAGTTTGGAAGCTAATGCCAATTTACGTTTAGAAATAACTAAATGCCTCGGTAGAGAAAAGGAAACTGAAAGTATTAATCAGATGCTCAAAGATGAACATCAAGCCTTGCAACTCGCTTTTGCATCTTTAGAAGAAAAGCTTAGAAAAACACAGGTACAATATATAATTGCCTTTTTTCTAATTGTGTTAAATATTTAATAAAATTGTATTTATATTTTTTATATAACTGATTAAAACAAATCTGTGATAAGTTATTTATAGATATTTATATATTTATCCCTATTTTATTTATTAACATATTCAAACTATTAATTTGCAGGAAGAAAATCGACAGTTAATTGAACGCTTAATAAAATATAAAGCCAGAGATGCAGAAAAAATGAATGAGGAAAATGACAACTTTTTAAGGTATGTATGTGTATTATGTATTGTGTATTTGCATATGTATTGTGTATATGCATCTTAGATGTTAGAAGGTAAAAAATTATTGCTTTTTTTTATTCTTATTAATATAGATTGTAGAAAATATCATAATAAATTCTGACTTGTAATATTAAAATTTAGTATAATGTGTGATTTCTATAGTTTCTGTAGTTGTTTCTGTAGTTGTGATTGTGCTTATAAAACTAAGACTAAAGTAATAATCATCTCTATCATGAGAATATTTTGATTGAGCATGTGTTTTGGTTACTTTTATGTGTAATGTGATAAAATATATATATATAGGCTTGCATGCTAATTATGATTTTAAACTAATTTATAATTTTATACCTTTTTAATACAATAAATTTATTTTTGCTTCTTTCTACATTTTAGACTATCTGTGTTTCTAGTCAATGTAGTTTTGTGAAGGTAGTTTATATAACTTTTATTGTCCCTTTGAAATCTATATCTTTCTTCAGCACTTTTCTGTAGAATGTCTACTCTTTTCTTGAAATAGGTATTATTACATATTATTTTATTAAAAATCACTTAAATATCTCATTCAATTTTAAGACACTATGTTTATTTCAATTTAATCTCTTGACAATATGTACAATAAATCTTTTCAAGTTTGTTCTTAAATCATTCAGATTGCAATGGTTTAAAATAATTAGAACGCATGCTACATATTTCCAAATTTAAATATGTAAACTATGTGTTCTCATTAACATCATGATATGCATTCACATTATGTAATTAATTTTTAATTAAACAACAGTAATTAATATTTATAAATGTAGATCACATAATAAAATTTAATAATAAAATATTTTGAGTATAAACATGTATCAATATATATATAAAATAATATATGTAACAAATAACAAATATACACGTATATGATTAGATATTTAAAATGTGTATAATTGTATATACATGTATAATTAATATTTATAGGTAACTGTATATATTGTAGTTTTATCAAATTTGAGTTTTTCACAGAATGTACAATATTCAGTCACTCTTTAGGGCTTTATACACTAGACACACTGCTTGACATTTTCGTTTCAGTTTTACGAGACCAACAACCTTTTTGATGCATACCTTTTCAAAATTCGGGTAAGTTTCATAAAATCAGAAACATTTCGTTTAATGTTAAATAGCTTTGGGCTGGTAATTTAACAAAACTACATACTGCAGTTGGTATCTTATGATTTATCTATTTTAGTTGTGGGTGACATTTATACTATGTATTATATATGTTTATATTGATTTATCTCATTCAATATAAAAATGATACACACTTACTAAACAATATAAATTTTTAACTTTAAGCTTTTATATGTAAATAAAATATAAAAAATGATACATATATATATATATATATATATATATATATATATATATGTATATAATGTGAATACTATAATATTGTAATCTATAAAATAGAAAACAAACTTGAAAAGGTAAATAAATATTTTCGATTTTTATATACTTTTTATATACTTTTTAAAAATTTTTTTTATAATGCATTATAAGAAATATTGATTTTGCTCATAGTGAAAAATAAAAGTGAAAATTACATATACAATAATTTTGAGAGAAAAATATGTATCTGTTACAAAAAAACAAAATTCATATTTTTAAACTATCTAATAAAAAATTAATAAAATGCATTATAAAAAAATGACAAATAATTCTGTTAAATAATGTGATTTAGTTTCTATGCATAATAGAGCTTCTTATAAAAAGGCATATAATGTGAAAATTGTAAAATATATCAATATTGTGAATGCTTTAAGTTGCTTTGCGACTTTGATGAACTTCAATTTATTTAATGTATTTACTAAATGCATATGCTTGTCATTACAAAGAATCATATAATCATCATTGTTATTGTAGAAAAAGGCAAGCAAAGATGCAAAAAGAATTGGAAGATGCAGCACGAGATACACGACCTGTTAGTCCCGATCGTTTAAGCTTAAAAGAAGTCGCTGGTCTTCCCACAGCAGTGCCAACAAAAGTATCCGTAACATTTGTACGTTGAATCTAAAATATCATATGTCTCATATTGTGCTCTTTCTATTATCATGAAAGTATTAAGATCAGTCGATACTTATTCTTAATAACATTGTCATGTGGGGCTGCATGCTTTATATGCATATAATTATAAATATATATAAATATACATAAATGTATGTATGTATGTATATATGTACACATACAGATATACACACGTGTGTGTGTATGTATGTATGTATGTACATATGTACATATATACATGTATATTGAGAGGTATTGTATGTATCATATAAATTTATACATTTGCAAAGATAAGATTTAATTTTTATAATTAATATTTTGACTAATATTTTTTTAGATAAATATGTAGAAATTTCTTTGTTGATTTGTCATTAATATAATCTTATACTTTATAAATGTTGGATTTTTTTTACAACCAATTACATCTCAAAAAATGATATATGCTAAAATGGTTGTTTGTTATGCTTATACAATATTTTTGTTATTCCGATCATTTTTGGCATTATATATGTCAAAATGTGTATATTTGATTTCAATAATGTCATATTGGTTATTTATTTAGTATTATCTTTTATTAAATCAAAGAAAAGGAAGTTAATTTTTTTTTAAATCAGAAAAATAATGTTATGCACAAATGTTATGTTGTTTCATTGTTGATTTATCTAAAAAGTGTATTTGCTAGAGATGCTTCAAATGATTAAAAAATAATTTGTTTTATATCAAATGAATAGCTAATCATTGGAAGCATAAGATAAGGAATAATTATTTAATATTTTTTTCCACCTTAAAAAATATTATAGTATTTATTTTATAAAATCATTTATTTTTAATTTTAATGTTGTTTGCAGTAGGAAGGCAAAAAAATAATTTTAATTTTTTTATTTATTTTCTTCTTTGCAAAATTATCGTTTTATTTTATTGGAATAATATCAGTGTCTCTAATAATAGAGTTTGTCACATTTTTTTATTTTAATTATAAAAATAGACTTCATTTCTCTGTTCAATTTTAAATATTATATATTATTATATAATATTAATTTCCTTAGATATTTGGAGAAAAAGAGTTATATAAGTTTGAAAAGTTTATAGAATTGTAAAAATTTTTCCAACAAATTATATCATTAATTGTGGAATTTTAATCAATAAATATATTATTATATTTGTATTGGCATATTTTGAGAACAATAACATAAATAATACTTTTATCTTGAAAAATCAAGTTTTGAATAATAATTGCATAAGTTTTCTTTATTTAAAAATCAAATGAATTTATGTTTAAGCAGATAGTAATGAATTTTTTTATAGATAATATATAATTAGAAAGAGAAAGAGAAAAATATAAATATATATAATTATCAAAATAAAATCAATAAAATCAAAATTGATTTTATTTTGATAATTATATATATTTTACATATTTATTAATATTTTTATAATAATAAACTATTAATTGTACGTATTATTGGAAATGCAACTGTTTAATTTTTTATTAAAAGTTACACTTTTTTGTACAATAATATGTATGCACACTTGGATACACACACACACACACACAGTCATTATATATTATTATATATATAATCTGTAACATTAATATTATAATGATGAAGTGTTCATTAAATTTTGAATATATATTCAGGTAAAATATAATATTGTTTATAGAATTTAATATCCATATGTTAGAATGGATTGCATATTATAATTTTTATCAAGATTAAACTAAGTACGTATGGTTTTAAATATTATTAAAAATATGCTTTTACTAACATAATCCTTAAAGCTCCTCAATTACGTCATTTTTTCCCTGATTTTATTTTCAATAATTATATAAATTCAATTATATAAATCTTCATAATTTTTCTTTTCATATTCTTACTTTCGATTAATGATGTTATATATATCTTTCATTCTTTACTTACATTTTTATTCTAGATTAGTTATATAACAGAATTTTCATCCTACATATGTAATTTGAATATGAATATGAATATGAAGATATGAATATAATTCTATATACATATTATACCAATGTGGTGTATCGTGTATACAAATTTTTGTTTTTAGAATATTAAGCTCTAATTAAATATTAAATAATATTTGGATTTTACATTTATATAAGTATTCCTATCTATGTATAACAGTGAGTTAAATAACTATTCATTACTAAGACAGTATGATAATGTGGAATCATACACATCAATAAAAATAATACAATATAAATATATAAAATAATATAATTATATGTATGCTTTTTTTAAATATTAATTTCTCATTTTTGTTTTGCAATATTGCTGTCGTGTATAATTAATATATAATATTTATATAATATTTATATAATAGCTTGAATGCATGTAAAAATGTTAACATTCATACATCAAGTATTATATACTTTACAGAATGCCCATGAGGGAGAAGTATTTGCTGTTAAATGGTCGCCTACTGATAGAATTCTGGCTACTGGTGGTGCTGATAGGAAAGTGAAATTATGGAACATTACTAAAGGTAATTAATAGAAAAAGAAAAAAGAATGTATATAATTATTAATATTATAATATTATATTTTATTAATATAATATTATTATAATATTATTAAATATATATTATAATATTTTATTAAATATATATTTAATATTAAAAATTTTATGCTGTAGAGATCTTTATTTGCATATGTTATAAAATATTCTTTCTTAATAATTTAGTAGAATTAATGTAACAAAATAATGTCACGAATATAATTTTTATTTTATGAAATATGTATTAAAATATAATCATCATTTATCGCAACTTTTTTATATAAATATTTCTGATATCAATATTCCGAAAATATATATAAATATTAAAGTTTAAATTAAAATCATGTCAAGATTAAATAGAGAAGAAAAAATTTTATTTATATATTTTAATATTTTTATAAAATTTATTTTATATATTATGAAATGCGCGCGCTTTTTCGAAAACTCAATTTAGTTATAATCGTTTGCGAGCAATCCATAAGATAGCGTTTGATTAACCAATCAAGACAAAGAGATTCTTGCTCCTTTTACTCTGATTGGCCAATCAGACGCTTCCAAGCAGTGTAGCGTCAAGTCGAACATGCATCGTTCCCACAAATTACGACGGACATGGTCGATTGCCGCGATAGAAGGATGTAAATTACATTCACGGCGTCGAAAGCGCGTGCGAGGGAAAGAATGCGATTAACCGGAGTATTCACGCAGGTAAACGACACCTCGGCTGCATAGTAATCCCTGCATTGCATGCAAAACGGTAAGAGAGAGTCTTTCGCCAGAAATTTATCTAGCGATCTCATTTTTCCCCCTTCCCTCTCTCCTCTCCGAATGAAATTAAGTTATGCATTTCAATTATGGCGATTTCGTCGGATTTTTTTGTCACTTTCGTAATTATTTTCTGGTAATTATTCTTTATTAATATTTTCTAAATTTAATCTGAGAAACGTTTCCTTAAATTTTACCGTTTTTCAAACATTACATGACTATGAACGAAGAAAGAATCTTTCGAGTCACGAGAATGCGATCCCCGCTGCATCATATATCAAATTAATGGCGTACTTATAGTTTTATGATCTAATTATAGTTTATGCATGCGTAAAATTGATATCCTCTAGCGAGTCAGAATGATATAAGAACCTTAGTGCTAATAAAGATACCCATTAAGCCTGTGCCCTGCAGAATAACTTAGGTGTATTTGTCAACATAAATACATTTGTTCTGCACTATGTTGCGTTCGTTTTACAGCAGATTTTTATCGGGAATTAGTATCTAATTCAGGAAATACATTTGGAATTAATAAGAACTGTCTTAATTTTGACTTGTATACGTGACAACAAAATATTTTTCTTAGAAAATTAATATGCAATTTAATATTGAGATATAATTCTAATATTGAGAAGAAACTTTTTTTTTCTAATTTGCAATAAAGAACAATTTCCATGCGAATTCAATAAATATCTTTAAATAGATACATAATATAAGTGAATTATATAAAATTTATAAAAAAAGAAATAATGTTCACTCTAAAGCGCCTCTCATTTCGCTCTTTTATTCGCGGCAAATAATTTTTTTTCGCTCAAAATATTCTCCATGATTTATTTAATAAAATATATTAACAAATCTACAGGTTACTTTGCGCGATCGACCTTGCCACGATTAGCAAAAGCCGGCCTGCCAGCGAATTTCTGCACCGAAACGATCGCACGTATTATAACACTCTCTTGAATCTAATCCCTCGCGCCTCTCATTACAAATTGAATGAAACATCTATCTTTATTGAATAGATTATATCCGCTTAACTCGAGATCTGCTATTCTGGATTTTCACGCATATTATCCATTTCTCGGCTTTGCTCTTTCTCATTTCTATCTCTATGTTTCTCTCTTTCCCTCTCCCTTTCCTATTATCTGTTTTGAGGCGCTTATAAGCTGCTTTGGATTGCAACGCAACTCGCTTGTTGCCAATTAGGCCGTCAGGGCATAAATTTAATTAGTCATGTTCAGGGAATAACGCGCGGTATAGGCACAATGGAGAAAAAGAGACGGAGATAAAGTGGAATGACCCTGCAATGAGGAATAAAATAATTGTTAGAGGCATATGAAACGCGAAGAACTAAATGCAAGCATCGTTAGATAATGGTATGATAATGCGTGCATGAACATTCTGTTGCAGATACATCGGAGAGCAAAGGTATCCTCGTCGGCAGCAACGCTGGTGTGATGTCGGTGGATTTTGATTCGACGGGAACCCTTATTCTTGGAGCATCCAACGATTATGCGAGCCGCGTCTGGACTGTCAGTGATCTTCGCCTAAAGGTAAGTTTTTGCATCAATTATCTTAGTGCGTGGTCTTATGCTTCTCCCACGCACTTTCGAAACAGCATGAGAGCTTAAAAGGGTCGCTAAAATATAGTCGAAAAATATCTTTTTGTAGAATATTTCAAGGTTTGATATTATTTTTTTACGATTTAACATTCATATAACATCATAATATACTAGAGTTATATCACATGAATTCCGTATTTAATTCATTTCTAAAATTTGTTGTACGCGGAACTAATTGTAAGATGTTATATAATAACTACTAGTAAAGATAATGAAAACATAAAGATAATAAAAGTAAAAAATATAAAATAAATTTAAAAGTTGCATGAAATTAATTCTTATTTCTATCAGAATTTTTGCAAGAAACTTTTGCAAATTTTTAATATTTCACATAAGGCGAGAAAATTTAAATACGAAAGGAAACACAATACTACATATGCAGTCTTTGCAAGTTACAAGTATGGCTGTATATTCTTAATATTTACGTTAGAATAAGGATATCATCGCAAATGTAGAAATCAATTACTAGGACGAATTAAATGTTTTTACAGCATTCATCCAACTTTTTCGTACGAAGCATATCACTCCGTTTTTCCGTTATATCTAGGTTAATATTGATAACTGTTTTCAAGGATTTAAATTTCCGACTTTCGATTGCCATTCAAATATGCTACTGCTCGTTCGTAATTGTACCACGGCTCTATAGATATTCGCTGTAAAGCCAGATGTATTACGGAATTAGCGGCTCCATCCCTCTCACGAAGAGATGAAATGTTCCGCGCAACAATACTCGAACGAAATATCGAAAATTCATCCGACAGCGCTGAGTTTGCAAATTTTTTAAATCCGCAGATTACGAACGAAGCGTCGAAATTACGCGCGTCGAAAGCCGTAAATAAAATAATATGGACAAAAGCTGCTGCAAACGCTTTCCGATTTTTTCTTGCAATGTTATTAATTTTAAAATTATTTTTTTGCAATTATTGACAAGCAAAAATGCTTGTCTGAAATTATGTCAAAAATGACGTCTTAAATTATTATGTTTTACAAATCATTATATTATATATATTTGAATATATGTATAATATTATAGATTTATTATAAAAATCACAATATTAAAAGTATTACATTCATGTTATAAATTAAGAAGTAATTTTAATTAATGGCAAAGAAAATTTCTTAAAATTTTATTTGCCATTTGAACGTACAGAAATATTTATTATAATTTTTTACATGTCTCTCTAAACTAATTTTGCTAATTTTCAAAAGTTAAGACTGGACTCGGAATGTCTCAGTATATTTTCGATTCTTTATTAGCAATAATTTGCTCTTTTAACTAGCTGAGAGTTATATACGATAATCACGTACCTATGACCGTACTCAATCAAGCTTTCATACCGTATTGCGTTAAGTACAAACAAAAAGAAGTTTTATTTGCCATTTGAACGTACAGAAATATTTATTATAATTTTTTACATGTCTCTCTAAACTAATTTTGCTAATTTTCAAAAGTTAAGACTGGACTCGGAATGTCTCAGTATATTTTCGATTCTTTATTAGCAATAATTTGCTCTTTTAACTAGCTGAGAGTTATATACGATAATCACGTACCTATGACCGTACTCAATCAAGCTTTCATACCGTATTGCGTTAAGTACAAACAAAAAGAAGTTACATTAAGATAGAACAAATGGCCTAACAACTACGATAATGAGACGCGGTCGTCCCTCGTCTTCGTGAAAACATGATTGGCTGACGGACATGTCCTAGGAAGTGCATAAAGAGACGTCTCGCAAAACATGCATTAAATTACAAGTCTGTTCCGTTGGCGAGACAGCCCGTGAATCTACCAGCAGTAGAATATGAAATTTATCGTCACCTTCTCCCTCGCGATCTATTACGGTACGGTTCATGTAAATCCGCGGCGTTGGCGCGATCATAAAGCTAATGACAATTTGCAAAAAGTCAGTCAGGATTGAATTATACTGTGAATCTTCGCCACAGATCGTTATTCCTTCTTATACCTATGCGCGTTTCGAAAGGCACGATGTTTCCTGGCTTTTTTTTGACCTCGCACTGTCTAAAGTTTGCCCGCTTGCTTACGCTTCGTCATTATTATAATAGAGGAAATGTTCCGTTTTCGTCTTTTTGATAAACATATCGATTTTTTTTGTAGTCCTTTATTTCCTGTTTTGAAAATATATGTTGAAAAATTATGATTCGAAAAGGAGAAATATATTAATCATTCTTAATAACGGATATTAAATATTTCAGTAATGTTTTCGGTAATATGAAATATAATTATCTTTCCTGACAGTAATGTACTATTAACTTGATTGTGATATTTGCTTTTTTGATACATTTATTTGTATGCGAACAATTTGAAATAATATTTTTCAAATTTTGTTCTTTTTTTTACGCGATTGATTCAAATGAAAGATGTAGATTAAAATAATTCGTGATAAGATTAAAAACTACATGACTGTTAAAATTCATAAATCAGTTTTCAATAATATCTGTTAATTTTTTAACGATCAATTTATAAAAGCGAATTTAGAGGAAAAAATTAAATGTATCAAGTTCTCGATAAAACTATATGTGATCGATAAATTATTGAATTGATATTTCCGGATTGTAACAGGTATAAAAATGAATCAGTTTCAAGTTTTAGTATTACGATAAAAACGGTACGTTAATCCGATGGAATATAGATTAGTTTAATTGGACGATCGTGTCAAATACGACGGTTAAAGTTTAGTATACGATGGTAAATGCCGATTACTACTAATGTACATTATTTCCTTTGATCTACACTCGATTCCCGTATATAAGAACTTAAGTACATGGTCTGTCGATAGTCGGAGGTATACAGAGGCGCGCGGTCATGTATGGAGAAGTAATCAGGAATGATCGATCGCGATGAAACTTTAAGTCCCACGTCGTACATATATCCCGACCTGCGCACCTCGTTACTTTGATAGGATCGTCAGAGAGTGTCACACTGATGTAACATGATTAAACGTTGGGAGCAATGATTGTCGGCAATGCCGATGGGAATCGACGGACAGGGGAAGCTTCTGCTTCTGCTAATTCCGCGACCAGTTCTCGCAGTTCTAGATGAGACTCAAATGGTACTCCGATTTATGCCGCACATGTACATCCAAATCCAAGCTAGGTTTTATCGTACAAACATTCTTTTACCGCGATTCATCGACATTTAATCGATTCGCCCTGTTTTCCAGAACTTGTAAATAATTTATCCTTAACGTTATAGTGACATCGTGCGAAAATATCGCGTACCGCTCCCTCGTAAGAGCTGTCGCCGCCGTTTCAGCATCCGAGGCAATTTCTCTCTCCTTGGAGCAATTACACACGTATTCATGTTAGATCACGTGACAAGATTCGGAGATGTTCGTTGGTTCGCAACGGAGCGAGATTGAACCGATAGCATGTTCTTACCAGCTGCGTAATTCCATTACATACTTGATACGTCGTCTCCCAACGTGATTGTATAAGTTGCCGTTTGCTCTACGCTTGTTTACCGTGCAGAGTAATACCGCGGTGGTTACCAGAATACAATGTATTATATATAATATATCCCTACGCGAGTACAGTTGCAAGACAGCATATCGTTCGCGAATAACCGGATGTGATTTAAATGTGATTATTCGAGAGATCGCAGCTGCCGTCTCGCGCGAATCGTCGCCCTTTCCGTCCAATCGTCCAATCTTTCGTTCCCTCTCGTCCTGCCGCTCTTACTTTTTCACGCGCCGTTCGTAAAACGCCGAGAATCTACTGAACAGCGGTAGTTTCATTCCGAAGATTGGTGGCCAATGGCGCGTAAACTTACGGGAAACAACACGAGGACTCTGAGGGATTCTAGCCATAACCAGTCTGTAGGTTATTCAGGTTGAGAGCTGACCATCTGATGTTTCCAAAGTGCTTCGTCTTGAGAATGCAACATCTGTCGAACTCAACCAAATGTAATTTTTTTTCTCCCCGTTCAATTTTTCCTGTTTGCGATATTCGTGCTTCTTTTTGAAAAAAAATGTCCTACATATCTTTTTTGTAATATATACCTGCAATATATTTATGTCGAAAATATGCGGCCAATTAAAAATTGTCATCAAAATTAATTACCTCGACAGAATATGACTTTCTGTCATTTGCGTTATTTAAAACATTTCTATCTTTTTTGAAACTTGCAATCAATAAAAGAGAATCTGTTTTTATGCCATTATTTTTTTTTTAAATCAACAAATATATCACAGTCAACTCAATATTTATTTTAAAACCAGAAAAAAATATTTTTTTAAGCGCAAATATTTTTTTATTTTACGGTTTACACGTGTGATATGCGCTAATATTAATATATGACATAATACTTTTTCATAACGATTAATAGATCATTATAGGCTCTATTATTAACGGAAAAAAGTATATATCCACAGTATAACGATTTAGGTACATAATCCACTTACATGGTTTAAGTAAAATGGTAGGAATTTCTATCCTTATTAATTCATAGAACGATAAAAAGTATAAAGTAAGTTTTAATATGAGATTATCATTATGCTTATGAAAAATATATCACCTCATTGAAAAAAAAAACCGGGACTTCGATAGAGAGGTCTCTATGAAATGACTGTTCAAGACATTCTATTTTCTTTTTCCTCTCAATGTCTTTTTCGGAAAACGATATACCTTGGACATTTTCTTCTCTCTTTCTCTGTCTCACATTTCCACTTCCTAAATTTTATATTTCTCACCAGACCCTTGTTTGTCACTTCTCCGGCGAGAAAACGACGCGTTAAACGAATATCGATGGTATTGGTGGGTACCTGGCCAGGGCGATAATGGACTGAATTTTGTAACGGTGGGGCGTCGTCAGTCGTGGGGTTTGCCTTGTGTACCGTCACTTCTATCGATTCGCCGACGGTGCCTGCCGGTGGTTTCCTGGTTGTCTGGCACTGGCGAACTGTCATATTTCC